AAGTTCTTTTTTGGAATGTTTATTAACACCTCCTTTAACATTACCTTTTATATAACCTTTGAACCCAGTGATCCTGAACTGAAGGCACTTCTTGTCTATATATGCAGCCATTTGTCAGAAAAAACTTTAACCCCTTTTGGAGTTCACAAAATAGTTTTTTTTATATATAACTATGGCTAGAGACACCAGTTTTAACTTTTAAAAGGAAACTTTTGTTATGCTAGTTGCTAAATATGGAAATGTATGTATATCTAATTATATTACTACACCTCCAAATTTAACTAGATTTCATGTTTAGAAAACAGGATTTCCATTTTCTTTTATCTTGACAAGGGACTATTCTTATTTCTAGAGTTTGGTTTATTTTTTGTCAGATATTTTAGCCCATCTTCATTATTTCCTATTACAGTGTTTAGTCCTAGATTTCACAAACGCTGTTTGCTTTCTTTTTTTTTTCCCTCAAGCTCAGTAGTTGGGTCGGGTTAAAGTATAGTAGACCAACTGCTGACAATAATGTTACTTCTTCCTGTTGCCTTGTGCTAAGGCATCTTGGAAATGTTAGCATTGACTGTATTTTCCTATTACCTTCAGATACCTGGGCAGGGCAGCACTGTGTCGTCTATGTCACTCGTATGTAGTTGTTAAGTACCTAATTGGTATATGTGAAATAACTTCTTCCCTTGGAATAATATAAGTGGAATCGCAAGAGGCTGCCAGCTCAGTATGGTTTTTATAACTCGTTTAAGCCTCATTTATAAAAATTGGCAAATATAAAACTGGGGCTTATTTTTATCTTTGTAATCAAACAGTAAATTGAAATTAACTTCAACAGTTAATCTGTGTTAATGAATTTGGAAATGAACCAGCTTTGCACCAAATACTTTGGTTAAGTATTGCACAGTTTCAGGAAGCGTTCTACTTGGAATTGTGGGACATGGCCTGACTGTAAGCTCTTGGAGAACCGCTCATTTCCCAGGATAGGTTTGGAAAAAACCTATGAGCATGGAATTATTTAGCAAAGGTTGAAAAATTTCTTGTAATATACAAGATGAGCATCCCACATCTAGAAACCTAAAATGCTCTAAAACAAAACTTTTTGAGTACTGATACGCTCAAAGGAAATGCTCGTTGGTGCATTTTGGATTTCAGTTCTTCAGATTTGGGATGCTTGACCAGTAAAATATAATGCAAATATCTGAAAACCTGGAATCATCCAACATACTTCTGGTACCAAGCATTTTGGATAAGGAATACTCAGCCTGTATGTGGGAATTGGGAAAGCAGTGTTTGGGTTTAGCAATATAGCTAATCCCCTTTGTTAATAAAGCCTATGGAGAGGGAGGTTATATAGAAAGGTCATGTTCATATTTTGAGAACATCTTACATTTGTTAGAAGAGAGTTTGCTAGGAAAAAAGGGACCTGTTTTATTTGGAGACAACTGCCTTTTTCCCCTTTTTGGTGGCTTAAAATCCTAACCTTTTTTGGAAGAGTCTTAACTGAGCGTCTTTTGTTTAAGAGACAGTAAATCTGCAGAAATCACTTCCAATAAATAACCATTACTTTTTTTCTTTTTTGAGACAGTTTCACTCATCGCCCCAGGCTGTCAGTGGCACAATCTTGGCTCACTGCAACCTCCACCTCCTGGGTTCAAGCAATTCTTCTGCTCTAGCCTCCCAAGTAGCTGGGATTACAGGCATCCACCACCATGCCCGGCTAATTTTTGCTTCTTTAGTAGAGATGGGCTTTCACCATGTTAGCCAGGCTGGTTTCAAACTCCTGACCTCAGGTGATCCACCCACCTCAGCCTACGAAAGTGTTGGGATTACAGGCGTGAGCCACCGCACCCGGCAGTGACCACTACTTTTTAAACTAATACAGAAACAGACTTGGGAATGTTGGTACTGTTGGCACTTAGTTTGAATGTGTATTTTTGTGTGTATATATAAGATAGTTTTGCTCTTGTTGCACAGGAGTACAGTGGTGCAGTCTCGGCTCACTGTAACCTCTGCCTCCTGGGTTCAAGTGATTCTCCTGCCTCAGCCTCCCGAGTAGCTGGGATTGCAGGCATGGGCCACTGTGCCCAGCCATATTTAAATTTTTGTTTTCTGTTTACATTTGCTATTTGTTACAATTTCTCACAGCAAGGTTTATGAATATAAATCTATATGCTGAAACACATCAAAAGAGAACAAATAGAAGATTGGTAGAGAAATCAAGTGTAGTAGGAATCCGTTGATTGTATTTGAAGGTATAGATTTTGAGGTTCAGACTCCTACAGTGGGATCTTTGTTTTTTTGTATAATAATTTAAAATGGTGCTTTAAGATTCAGTCAACAGTTTTTTTTTTTTTTTTTTTTTTAAAGGTCTTGTTGCAGTAGGAGAAAGAGCACAAAAGAGGTCTGGGAACTTCTCTGCTGCAATGAAAGATCTGTCAGGTGAGAGCACATTTTTGACTTTCCTCTTGCCCTAATCCCATCTTGAATTATTTGTTGCAGAAGTTGGTGGAAATAATTTAAAACTGGGTATTTTTCCCCCCTGCAGGCAAGCATCCTGTGTCTGCTTTGATGGAAATCTGTAATAAGAGAAGGTGGCAACCACCTGAATTTCTATTGGTCCATGATAGTGGCCCTGATCATCGCAAACATTTTCTCTTTAGGGTAAATATGAATTTCTGCACTAATTTTACATGTTTATTAATGTGATGACTTAAAGAGGGTGAGGGGTAAACACGATCACAGGATTAAGAAGCTGTTCGTGGGTGGGGGTTTGTTATTTGTAGTTAAGTGGTGGGGTTTTTAAACACTCAAGGGTGCTTTAATATGACTTATCAATGTCCTGTTTTTTTAAAAATTGGGAAAAAATGGGCAAAATCTAGTAAATAGTTTATTTTCTAGTTGAATGTGGGGAACTAATTTAATAATTTTATCAGTCTTTTTCTCAATTTGGAGATCTGCTCATAATTTGCAGTCCCTTTCCCAAATGATTTGCTTCTTCTGGGTTGAGATTATAATTTGACTTACATCGTATGGGTTTTATATTATTGTAAATTATTTTCTAGCATTTAGTAAAAAAATACAAAGCTAATAGATATTAAAGTTTGATGCTGTTCTTATTGTATGTTTTTCTTGAATAGGTATTGAGAAATGGAAGCCCTTACCAGCCCAATTGTATGTTTTTCTTGAATAGGTATTGATAAATGGAAGCGCTTACCAGCCCAGCTTTGCCAGCCCTAATAAGAAGCATGCTAAAGCCACAGCAGCTACTGTGGTTCTTCAAGCAATGGGCCTTGTACCAAAGGACCTCATGGCTAATGCCACTTGCTTCAGGAGTGCCTCACGTAGATAGATTGAGGTTTTATAATAATCATTTCAGATAATTTTACTCTGCATCACAATGTATTTCCTCTTTAATGTTGTAAATATTTGGCAATTTAAGACATTGTGTAAAAAGCAATCTGTAAAAACATCTCCAGGCTTTGATTTTTGTACCATGGAAATTGTATTTAACCATACAGGGTTTTGGTATGTTTATATTGTTTACCTTAGTGATGTATTTGTTTAAGTGGCTAACATCCAAACGATTGTTTGAAGGCATCAGTAATCTTCGGTGTGGAATGTTAAATAACGCTTTTATACTGTATTTTGTACTATGATGTAACTCCCCTTCCTTATGGCTAGGCTGCTGTAACACTTGCCTGTAATCAGTGAAGGGCTGTGCACCTTGTACTATTTCACAATGGGTTCTGCTGGACAGATACTGGGCCAGTGTTATTGAGGTAATCGAGCAAGATCTGTTCCACAGGGCTAATGCCACCATCTCCCCTCAAAATTTTGTAGAGGTTATAAAAAGAAAGTGGTATGTTGTGTGATGATCAGCACTAAGTCCTGCATTCCTGTTAAAGCCACTTGGGTCATAAGAAGGGAGTCAAAAATGAAGTCTGACTAGAATTCTATTGCAGAGGCCAAGTACATTTAGTATGGCATTGAGTTGTGATATAGTTTTACTTTGATGTGCATTTTGAATTTCAGCTACACCTAGATAGACGTAAAATGATAATTAAAATGCTGTAACCAACTTATCTAATAAAATTGGCAACCAGCCACTATTTTGTTGACTCTGAGAAAGTTAAAGTTTATGTTAATTTTTAGGGTCTGATAGAATATTTCATGTGTATTACGGTGGTATTCATATGCTATGTCTCTAAACTTTATTTTCAAAAGCTTAAGGCCCAAATACAAACTTCTCTGGAATAAATGTGGTGTTTTATTTTCTGGATTATAAAGTGAACAAATACTTAGATACTATTATTTCTTTACCCAATGCTTTTGATTTCTAAGCACTTTTATTTTTAAAAAGTGTGAATTATACAATCCCCACCTACACACGCACATGCACATTAAATACTACTTTGCCATGACAGCTCAGCATACTTCACAATTCTTAACACTATTCTATGTGGAATACAAAATGCCATTTTACCTGAATTAACATGCATTTAAAAAATTTTAGTATATGTGAAAATAAAAATTATAAATCAGTAGGAAAAATATTAAGGTAGAAGCATCAGCAGTCACCTAGGTCAGTAGAGATGTCTGCATTTTATTTTCTACCTTTATAAAACAAGAACCTACTAACAGTCTTAGGGTAAATAGTAAAGTAACATTTTTGCCCTGATGCCTTTGTCACAAGGCCACGAGATAACTGCTGTGTGTTTAGTCTCAATTTCCTGTTTGCAAGGAAACATTAATTCAGTTTTCTACTCACTATACAATTAGGTTGTGGGGATATAGACACCTCATTTGAGTGATCTGAGTTTTTCATCTTTATATCTAAAAACTAACCTGAAAATAGTAAAAGCAGAAAACACCGATTTAAAATGCTACTGTAATAAAAATATTTATAAACATTTCAGTATTTTAAAGTATATTCCTTTAACTTCAAGAATCTTGAATTTCCTTGCTAGAAGGCTTTTTTCCTCAAAGATTCCTTTTACGCTTACTTTGGTGTTCAGGATCTCCAATTATAAATGTAGTCTCTCATCACCACATTCCGTAAAGATGATTTCCCAAGTAACGGTATTTCACTAAGTTGCGCCAGAGTCTTAGGGTGCAAACCACAGTTAGTAAGCTCCTTACGAACAACCTCCTGTGGAAATTTGTATAAAAGTCAGTGAAAAGCATATTAGTCTTGAAACACACGAGTTTTAAATAATTACTATGGAGACTGACAAATAAATGGCTCATTTATGTGATTCATCCTATCAACAGAAGACATAAGAATTTTTGTAGTGACAAAATCCCAAAATATTAATGGTTATTTTTATAAGTCTAGCCAACTGAAATGCATGAGACAATTTTAAAGGTCTTAACTCTAAAAATCTAATTATATTCAAAATCAAAGGCAAATATGGTTAAATACTTAACAGTGAATCATGTTTCCCTAAAACTATAAAGGAATCAGGTACTACTGAGTTTTGGATCCAAGAGGACAATGAAAATAAAATTTCCCCTTTCAGTAATGGGAAGTTCCTTAGTCACTGTTAAAATCGTACTTGGACTGACGCCAGGCGCCTTGGCTCAAACCTATAATCCCAACACTTTGGGAGGCCAAGGTGGCAGATCACCTGAAGTCAGAAGTTCAAGACCAGCCTGGCCAACATGGTGAAACTCCCCCTCCGTCTCTACTAAAAATACAAAAAATTGCTGGATATGGTGGCACATGCCTGTAATCCCAGCTACATGGGAGACTGAGGCAGAAGAACTGCTTGAACCCAGGTGGCTGAGGTTGCAGTGAGCCAAGATCGGGCTGCTGCACTCCAGCCTGGGCAACAGAGCAAGACTCCGTCTCAAAAAAAGAAAAAATCTGTACTTGGACTCAATTCATGAAAGTTAATTCAACAATTTATGGACATTATTCCTTCCTCTAGTAATTCATAATTGATTTAAGTAAGTTTAATTACTTGAAACACAAAAGTGACTCAGCATAAATGACTCACTTCCTTCCAGCTAGTTTGAGGAAACTACAACGAAAACAGTCTGCTCATAGATGTCTACTTACTGTATTAAGTACTTTGTCCACTGGCAGGCAGATGTTAAATACAGCAGTTGGTTCATGTGGATATAGTAGCGCAGAGAAAGACCCACTCTGTGAAGATTTGAGCAGCATGGTCAGTGAATGCAGGCAATGAGGCATGATAGGACCTGTAATCTCCAAACTAAATTGGTCTCTGTATCCAGAAAGAGCTTGTGTCTTCACATTTACACTTCGTGCCTTCATGAAAATTTAAAGAAAAGGAAAATGATGATCTTTCAACCTTTTTTCTAGCTAAAAATGTGTTCAATACGTTTCCATTTGGGGTTTCCCCTCTTTAACCATTATGCAACAAAAGTATTTCCCAAGACACCAAAACAATGTTAATGCGAGTAAAAATACTTGGCAAATTTTCAGCATCCTCTCCATATTATCAGATTTTTCAGTTGAAGTATATTCCAGAGAATACCATTTTTTAATATAGTATTTTATCTGATTTAGTAATACGCTGTCAATGCAGACTACCGGAAAAACAAAAATTTAAAATCCATTCAATTCTATTGCTAACATTTAGCATGTATATTGTATTTACATTTAAAATTTGACTTTTACCTATATCCACCCCAGTTTTTGAGATCTGCTATAATTTAACATTCTTGGGCATGTCCTTTCACTAGTGAAATCAAAATGGAATCAAGCAACTATTTCTTAAGTGGCAAAAAAGGAAATTAACACCACAATGCTTTTGTTCCCAATTACTTTATTGCCAACTGTTACTTTTTTCAGTAAGAAAATTTTTGGCCAGGCATGGTGGCTCATGCTTTTAGTAATCCCAGCACTTTGGGAGGCCAAAGCAGGAGGATCGCTTGAGCCTAGGAGTTCCAGACCAGCCTGAGTAACACAGTAAGACCCCATCTCTACAAAAACTTAAAAGTTAGGACAGGCGTGGTGGTTCAAGCCTGTAATCACAGCTCTTTGGGAGGCCAAGGTGGGTGGATCACTTGAGGTTAAAAGTTCAATACCAACCTGGCCAACATGGTGAAACCTCATCTCTACTAAAAATACAAAAAAAAACAATTAGCCAGGCATGGTGGCGTGCGCCTGTAATCCCAGCTACTCAGGAGGCTGACGCAGGAGAATCACTTGAACCCAGGAGGCAGAGGCTGCAGTCTGCCGACATCATGCCACTACACTCCAGCCTAAGTGACAGAGTGGACAAAAAAAAAAAAAAAAAATTAGCAAGGCATGGTGGTAAGCACCTGTGGTCCCAGCTACTTGAGAGGCTGAGGTAGAAATGTCTCTTGAACCCAGATGGTTGAGGTTGCAGTGAATTGTGCCATTGCACTCCAGCAAGACCTTGTCTCCCCAACCAAAAAAACACATTCATATAATTTAAAAAGAGGCCAGGTGCAGTGGCTCACATCTGTAATCCCAACACTTTTGGGAGACCGAGGTGGGTGGATCACTTGAGGTCAGGAGTTGAAGACCAGCCTGGTCAACATGGTGAAACCCCATCTCTACTAAAAATACAAAAATTAGCTGGTTGTGGTGGTACCTGCCTGTAATTCCAGCTATTTGGGAGGCTGAGGCAGGAGAATCCCTTGAAGCTGGGAGTCAGAGGTTGCAGTGAGTCGAGATTGCACCACTGCACTCCAGCCTGCTGACAGAGCGAGACTCCCTCTCCAAAAACAAACAAGAAAAAACAAAACAAAAAGCTGGGTGTGGTGTGTGCCTATAACCCCAGCTACTCAGGAGGCTGAGGCACGGCACAAGAATCATTTGAACAGGGGAAGCAGAGGTTGCACTGAGCTGAGATTACCCCACTACATTCTGTCTAGCTAGGATAGCAGAACAAGACTCCATTAAAAAAAAAAAAGATTTTATATAATTTATATATTTTCACATAATTTCTTTGATGTAACTGTCTTATGTCAAAGTTTTTTTGTTTTCTTAATGGGAGGAAAGCAAAAGCAAAATATGTACCAAGTAAAAATGCTAGAAGTTTTTTTTTTTAATCAAGAATTTATCCTATCAAACAAAGTAAAGTACTTCTTAAAAGCCAGGTTATGGAGATTTTTATTACCTTAAGCATTTGCATTGTGGCACCTCGGAAAGCAACAGGAGATAAAAGGGTTGGCGGAAGTCCTGCCTGTGGACCTGAGGTAGCAACTAAACTCTTACAGTTGATCAAAAAATTGAGCAATGTAAAGGTGTTGATTCCTTTCACCAACGCAACAGACTCAGGTCTGTGATCCATTTGTACTTCATGTTTCTCTTTACGACTGAAGATGACAATCAAGGAAATTGCAAAAGCAAATCCCACCTACTGTGGAAAGCAGTTATCTCGATTCTGAATCACCTGAGAGCCCTTTTCTCCATAATGAAATGGAAATACTCTTGCTACCTCTCTTTACTCAATCATTAAGGCATATATTTCAATCAAAATGTTAATCTAAATTTGCTACAAACTGACACCTAAACATAATTTCTTCTCTAGTCAAAACACACCTATTCTCCCACAATCACAATTGAACGTTTTGATTAAAAAAGGTTTCATAGTTCACCATTTACTGATACTCAGGGGCTTGTTATTAAATATTACAATGGAAAATTAGTTTTAATATAATCTGAAGATAATTTAAGATTATAGTCACATAAAACTGCCAATGTTAAACTTCTCACTAACGTCATTCAATGAAAATTAATTCTAGTTAACAGCAACTGAAAGGATACAGCTTGATAGAAAGTATGTCTGGCTTTTTAATTTCATCTTGCACTCCCATCTCTTCCAGCCAGGAAAAACTTTCCTCTTCGTCCTCATCACTGATGACTTGCTCCCTAGGAAATTGCTGTAGTTAGAGTCTCTATTTCACAAAGCTACTCCTGTACAAATCTATTTCATGGGTCTGTAAGTCACTGGATGACATAAAAAGTTATTTTAATCACATACTCCCCATATCCCAAGCTTGTTTCAGATGCTGTCTCCTTTTTATGGCCATTTTCTTTTATTAAAGGCAGAGAAAATTCAATACCTATATGAGGAAAAAAAAATGTAACTGAGTTTTCATTAAAAGTATTTAACAGGCATGCTGTACTTTTCGAGTGTACAAAATATGAAACGTGAGTTTTTACAAATGATCTATTAAGGCAGTAGTTTTCAAACTTTCTTGACACAGTACATACACACATAAAAACATATCTCCTTGAAAGAGGTTTGGGAAACAACACATACATGTAATACTCTTTCATAAATTATATTGTATTCTAGTTCACTTTTTGAAAAAGTAATGAGTGGGTCCACTAAATAGATTTCATGATCCACTAATGGGTTGACTCAGTTTGAAAATTATGTTATTAAAGGAGTAGCTGGTACTATAGAAGAATTTCTAGAAGAGTGTATATAGTGACTATCTGGCCCAATATATGTTTTATTTTAGAGATCAAAGAAGGGAAAACTATGTATAAGGAACAGTTTAAATCAGGTGTCCCCAATCCCAGGACTGTGGATTGGTGCTGGCCTGTAGCCTGTTAGAAACTGGTCTGCACAGCAGGTGAGCGACTGGCGATGGATCATTACTGCCTGAGTTCCACCTCCTGTCACATCAGTGGTTGCATTAGATTCTCACAGGGGTGCAAACTCTATTCTGCGCATGTGAGACATCTAGGTTGTGCATTCCTTAGGAGAATGATGGTCTGATGTGGAACAGTTTCATCCCGACACCATCCTCCCCTCACCCATGAAACTGGTCCCTAGTGCCAAAAAGTTTGGGGACTGCTGGATTAAATAATTGTGGGGGAGAGGGAGGGAACCAGAAATAAATCACATGTTTCTTAGTGTTGCTAACCAACTGGTAAAAGGCATTTTAAATTTAAATAGCTTTTAGGCTAAAATAGGGTTACTATATACTACAGTATCCTTATTTTAAACCTAAACTTTACCTTCATTTCTCATAGCTTCTCTTAAACCTCGAGTTGTAGGAGATATAAGAGCTGTGATTAAGTCATTTCCAGCTAATCCTGCTGCTCGGAACAGGACCGTAAACTGATAGGTGCAAACGTAGAAATAGGGGCAAAGTTTTGTCTTCAGCAGATTATATAGAGAAGTAAAGCTCACAGACCTATGAAGTAAAAAAATTTTCTTTAGGTATTATTAAACATTTAATGCAATGTTTGTAATTTAATTCTGTATAATCTAGTTTGAGACCTGTTTTAAAGCACAACACAAATATTTTAGATACTGGTCTGAATTTTTGTGGTTACATATGACTTAGCTTTAAAGGACTGAAAATGGTTATAGGGACTTGCTGATGATTTCTCAATACTTTAACTAACAGTGTATACGACTTAAACAGTTATTTTTTCTTTAAACAAAACTTAACTGAGAATTACTTGCTGACTTTCTCTAAGCCGCTGATAAGAAAGGAAGCAGACACTGACAAGAAATAGCATTAAAGAATTAGGTCTGTCTGTATATATTTAACAAACACTTATATACATTCTACAACTGCGTAAAGAATGAGTAGCAGCTTAAAAAAAAAGTAAACAGTTTAAATGTTAATAGGTTCAGATAAAATTCACAAGGACACAGATATCCTTCTGCCATTAATCTATCCAGTCACAAATATGATAAACAGAGAATACCGCTAAAATGAAAATTCACTATTGAATTACACAGGCTTTTCTTACTAATCTTACCAGTCACTCATTAAAACATGCTGCAGGGTTGCATCATTTGACCAAGGACTTGTCTTTCCAGTCATTTTTCTATCAGCTCCAATACGAGGGAACAGTGGTAGCCAAGGCAAAGCAGGGTGGAGCCAATAGACAAGGCTCTGCTGGAAGGTACAACGGAGCTCAGTGGAGAGTTTGGGATCCTAAAATCCAGAGGTGACAGTGGGCAGTTTTTGCCCCTTGAGAAATATAGAATTTCATTAAAGATACACTGAATAGCTAAACACTTAGGTCTAAGGATCTTTATTGTTTACTACAGAAACGCATTAGTAACTGTTACAGGAACTAAAACATAGTTTATCTTTATTTGGGCCAGATGTAATGTTAAACCATATTATAGAGCATTTAAACACAGATGGGAACATGTGCCTGTCTCTACCACCCTTAAGGACAATGACTACCTTTTTTATCATTAGGAGTAGGGGTGGGCATGTGTGTGTAGGTAACACTATGTCCAACCCTCTCTCCAAAATGCCGTTTTAAAAGTAGTCAGCAAACACTAATACAGCAAATCACAAATCATCCTAATCTATTTATTGAAAAGATGTATATACCAAGACCTCTTTCAGGATAATCCTTTTTAACCTAGTTTGAGATTGAGATTTAAAAAAATAGATTTTAAGACAGTCTCACTGTGTCACCAAGGCTAAAGTACAGTGGCGCAATCAGCTCATGCAGCCTTGACCTCCCAGGCTTAAATGATCCTCCCAACTCAGCCTCTCAAGTAGCTGGAACTACAGGCACCCACTGCCATGCTCAGCTAATTTAATTGTAGAGATGGGGTCTCACTACATTGCTCATGCTGGTCTCAGGTAATCCTCCCACCTCACTCTCCCAAAGTGCTGAGATTACAGGTGTGGGCTATTGTGCCCAGCTTCCTAGTTTGAGTTGATGCTTTAAAATAATCAAAATGTATTTCTCTAAAACCATTCTAGAACTCACAAACTCCACTAAATTTATAAAAGACCATTACGCAGGTAAGAAAATCGGTAAATCCATCAGTCCTTGCACTCCCACCCAATTGCTTTCCATTTCTTTGTATTTCTTTCTCAAAAAGCCATACCAAAAAATAAGTAATTATTGCCTGCAACACTGATTAATTTGCAGGACAAGTCTCTAAATTTATGAGCTGTTACTCAATCTGACTTAAAAAAAAAAAAAGTATGAAAGCACCACAAGCACCATTTGGGAAAGACAGTATTTCCTAAGTCTTTGTATCTTTAAACGTCCAAAGAAAAACTTAATGGAAGGCAGTATCTCTGCTATTTTGCAAAGGAGAGCATTTCACACTTACTTTGTTATTTTAACACATAACTATTTTATTTCAGAATTACCTGTATACTTTTAGGCAATGTAACTTCTGTTGCCCTACAATGCTGGACAAGACCTTGAGCCTCTTCCTGTGCTTTCAAATGATCTGCCCAAGTAAAGGGTTCAGAAGAGGTGAAAAGGAGTCGGGTTTTAATACTCCAGTCCACAGGTAGCTCAGCACTTTTTGAGGATGGAATATCAGACTCGGAGAATGATACGCGTGGAGTCTTTACAAAACAAAGAATGCAAAAATTAGTCAAGTACCAAGAAAAAAACCTTTAACCTAAAGATTTTTATAAGCTAACATACTCATCACTGAAAAGTCTAAATTATTTAAGCTGTATAATACCATGAAAAATATATTACACACTGTAAAAAAAAGCCTGAAAGGAGTCACACTAAACTTTTAACAGTGGTTACCTGTGGGAAGCGGAAATTTGCTGCTTTGGGAGATGGGGGTGGAGGGCAGATTTTACTGTCTAGTTTATACAGTTCTTTATGGTAGTACAGATGCTTGCATTAAAGTAGAAATATTCCAAGTGGTTAAACATTTTCGATCTTTTAAACCTTTGAAACTGCATCCAGGGCTAACAAAGTCCATATTTAAGAAACATTTCCTGACTTCAAATGTTTCCCCTCAACCTGTCTGCTGTGCTTTCAGGTCAACATTCTCCACAATTCAAGGATTTTTTTTTTTTTTTTTTTTTTTTTTTGAGACAAGAGTTTCACTCCATCACCAGGCGCCAGGCTGGAGGGCAGTGGCGCGACTGGCTCACTGCAACATCCACCTCCCGGGTTCAAGCAATTCTCCTGCCTCAGTCTCCTGAGTAGCTGGGATTACAGGTGCGCGCCACAGCGCCCAGCTAATTTTTTTTGTATTTTTACTAAGACGGGGTTTCACCATGTTGGCCAGGATGGGCTCCATCTGTTGACCTCGTGATCCGCCCGCCTCAGCCTCCCAACGTGCTGGGATTACAGGCATGAACCACCGCGCCCGGCCCTTTTTTTTTTTTTTTTTAAATTGGGACAGAGTCTCGCTCTGTTGCCTAGGCTGGAGTGCAGTGGTCCGATTTCGGCTCATTGCCAACTTCTGTTGCTTGGGTTCAAGCGATTCTGGTGCCTCAGCCTCCAGAGTAACTAGGACTACAGGCATGCACACCACCACACCTGGCTAATTTTTTTGTATTTTTAGTAGAGATGGGGTTTCACAATGTTGGCCAGGCTGTTCTCGAACTCCTGATCACAGGTGATCCACCTGCCTCGGCCTCCCAAAGTGCTGGTTTTACAGGCATGAGCCACCGTGCCCCATCAAGGATTCTTTTATAACACAATAAAATATCAGAGAAGGGGGAACTATCTTTGACAGAACATAGCAAGGTCACTTATTTACAAGAGAAACTGGGTCTTGTGAACTCTTCTAGCCTGTTCCCATTAGAACAAACTGCATTTATCAAACTACACAGCACAACAGCAGCAGTTGGGGAATGAAAACGTGTGTGTGTGTTAGGGAAGGGGAGCAACGAGGTTCAGTGCTATGCCACAATCTGGGGAAGTGGGCCAGGACAGCTGGCTTTTGAGTGATAAGCTGGAGAAGTCAACTGACCAAAGAAGAGTGTTAAAAACTGTTAGAGGGTAAAAAACCCCCACGTCTATCAGACCTATTTTAGCGCCAGCTACCTTTACAGTTATCATCATTGTATCAAACCAACTCCTTTACCTTAGCTGATGCCGTATTTTCATCCCCGGTAGAGATGATCAAGCCTCTCTGTAAAATTACTTTCTAAGCAAAATGCTTCTGAGAAGTATAAATTTATTTTAAAAAAAAGACTCAAATCCTAGCTAAGAAAAAAAAAGTTTATACAAACATTCTAACGATATTTAAAAAGTATTACCTGGGGTAATTCAGTAACAGTTGTTCTTTCAGGAAACTTCTCTTCCCATAGCACATCATTTTCTTGATTAGAATCTAAAAACTGAGGTTAAAAATATTGTCCTTTTAAAATGTAAAGGATGCTGAAGTTTGCGTTAAATACGTACGGAGCCTCACCTGGCATACACGTTTCTCAATAAATGCAAGAGCACCCAAACTCGCACGCACCCCATCCAAGCTATGAGTTTCACTTCAGTTTTGTGTCTGAACTTTAGTAGCAAAATTGAGGGGAACAAGAGACGGTTTTTCACACCGAAAGATCCAAAAGGCTTAGGGTAAGACAAATGCTAGTGAATTCTGCCCCCACGAATCCTCAACATTCCCCAATCCCCAGAATAATGTGGAGTGCGTGAGAGGAGGGAGGCCCTGAATCACGGGGGAAGCTCGTCACCTGTCCCATCAACAGCGTCCTTACAAGATGGGGGCTCTCAGGGTTTTTCGAGCTTTCTTCCAACGCACCTCTAAGTCCCCTCCAAGAGGCTCCGCGCTGCCCTCCGGCGCCCCTCACTTTCCTCGGGAACGCGTCCGGTGGACACAGCCCGCAGCGGGGCAGGCGGGCGCGCGCTCTTCCCACAAACCGGGCCTTGCGGGAGCCGCGGCTCCCAGCGCAGGCACCCCGAGGCTACGGACGGCCGAAGTCTTCGCGCCCATTTCCTTGCCTCGAAGGCGAGGACTTTCCATCCCCGATTCACAGCTGGCTCAACCCAAGAAAGACAAGAGACCGTCAGCGGCCAGGCTCCGAGACACTCACCCGGCCCGGCGCCTCCGGCTGGTCGCGGGCAGGCCCGTCGGGGGGCTCCGCGGCGACCTGCGGTCGGTTGTCCAGGCGGGCGAAGGGGTTCCTCCGGGCCGCTGCCGGGCCGCCGCCACCTCTGCCCCCAGCGGCAGGGAAAGGGCGAAGGGCCAGTCCGGCCGCCAGGGCGGCTCGGCGGGCTGCCGGCTCCGGCAGCTCATGGGGCGGGGAGGCAGCAGCCCCACGGCTCCGGGCCCTTTTCCGTCGGAGCCGCACTACCTCCGGCGGCTTTTGGAAGCCCGGTAAGTAGCCGGGCACGGAAAGGGCCATGACGAGCGGCGGCTGAGTACTGCTGGCCGCCCCGCAGAGACTTCCCGCGCGCGCCGGGCCCGCCCCCGACGTGGCGCCGCGCCGAGGTCCGGCCCCCGACGCGGCCCCGCCCCCACGGGTTCTTAGCAGAGCATGCGCGGCGGCAGCCTGCGAGACCCGCTACGCAGCCGCGTGGCCGCCACCACCCACTGGCCCAGCGGTGACCCTGCCCTGGCGTTCCTCCAGGGTCCTCGGCCAAAGTCCAGTCGCCAGGTTCAGCGACGCTTCTGGAAAGCGTGCAATCCAGGGCGCCGATGTGTACTACCCTGTGGGGCAACGAAATAGCTGAACTCTAAATAAGCCCGCAGCTGGGATGTGATCAGCCCGGGGTTTGGAGGGCTGAAAAGGGAACAAACTTGAGCTGCGGTGATAGGCTGCTGCTTCCAGAAACTTGAGAGAGGGGCAGCGGCTACTGCTCTCAAGCGGCGAGGAGAGGGCACTAGGTCACCCCTCCTCAACTCCCAAATACAGAACTCAGGTAAGACCTCAGCACGCTTCCTGTACCAGCGCGGCCTCCCGACAACCCTCCCTTCCCGGTTTCCAGTGACTGGTCATCTCAGCCTTCCAGGCAGCTGCCTCTGGCAAGTTAATGTGATCCTCTTCTTTGATCCTGGGGAAAGCCTGAGTGAATGAATATTTGACAACACAAAACTTAAGGGCTATGGGCTAGGTCCTTTAAGACTTCAAAATATACTCAAATTCTTAAATTATAACAGCAAAGACTTGTTAATGAAGGTGTTGAGAACGGAGCTGATACAAAATTAATACGTTATTTGGATAGTTTAGCAAAGGCCTGCAACAGCTTTATCAATAGAGTAGTGTGGCTTTTGCTGATAGCGGCGGTTTTCTTCATGGAAGGAATTTTATCGCAGGGGCAAAATATATAGAAACAATGAAAAGGTTTTTAGAAAATTCCCTTAAGATGTTAATTAAAGAATTATCTTGATCATTTACACAACAATTTTTCAAATACTTTTCAATGTGTCAACTGAGCATCTTGTCCTAACAGGGGAAACGTGCTTAAAAATGGAACTTGCTTTTATCTTCCTTGGATTTCTCAACAATTTCCAAAGAAAATTCTGGCTTCAAATACTGGAATATGTTCATCCAACTGAGGTCTGAGAAAGAAGAAAATTAAAACTGAACAACTTGCTTTTTTCTTCCTTGATTTTTCTGAACAGCTTCCATGGAAACTTTTGCCTCATACAGTGGAATGGGTTCATCCAACTGAGGTCTGAGAAAGAATGAAATTAGAAATGTCAGGTCTAGTTAAAGATGCAGAACAAACAGGATGGCATATGACAATTGCTAGTGCTTAAATCTGTTAATATTATTTATTTAATTTTTTGAGACAGTCTGGCTCTGTCACCCAGGCTGGAGTGAAGTGGCACAATCTCAGCTCATTGCAACCTCTGCCTCCCAGGTTCAAACGATTCTTATACTTCAGCCTCCTGAGTAGCTGGAATTACTCAGAGGCTGAAGTATGAGAATCAAGCTGATATAAAAATCAGCTAATTTTTATATTTTTAGTAGCGATGGGTTTCACCATGTTGGCCAGGCTAGTCTAGAACTCCTGGCCTCAAGTGATCTGACCGCCTTGACATCCCAAAGTGCTGGGATTACAGGTGTAACCCACACTGAACCCAGCCTCAAATCTATTACTTTAAGTAATTCAAACAAATTTGTCAATTAATATTTCCAAGTTAAATGTAGTTATTAAGAAAAAAATACTCCCTCTTTTTTTTTGGGGGGGGCGGACAGAGCTTCACCCTGTTGTCCAGGCTGGAATGTAATGGCATCTCGGCTCACTGCAACCTCCACCTCCTGGGTTCAAGCAGTTCTCCTGCCTCAGCCTCCCCAGTAGCCAGGATTACAGGTGTTTGCCACCATGGTCAGCTAATTTTTATATTTTTAGTAGAGACAGGGTTTTGCCATGTTGGCCAGGCTGGTCTCGAACTCCTGACCTTAGGTGATCCACCTGCTTCAGCCTCCCAAAGTGCTGGGGTTACAGGCATGAGCCACCGTGCCCGGCTTACTCCCTCTTTTATAAGTGATAAACAGATTCAACTTTAAACAAATATACCATGCTTTTCTCTCCTTCAAGCTATTGGTTATTTCAAGTTGCTTTGGAACGGGCAATGAGGAAAAGCAAAGGGTAAGGTACACTATGGAATGGAGTGAGGAAAACTCACAAGCCACTTCTTTCTCTGGGAATACTTACTGATGTGCCACCAGATATACTTTGATAAGTATTAAAGTGCAGCTATTTATCTAAATGAAATATAAGGTCAGTGCAAAAGTAATTGCAATTGCTTCAATGGGAAAAACTGCAATTATGTTTGCACCAACCTAATAATAAAATATGGAGGCAATAGATATATGGCGAGAGCTAAAACAAAATTGGAACTGACTGCCTTGGCTCCTTGAAACTAGAACAATGCTTTGGTTACTTCAGCGTACCTGAAAACACCAGCTGATAACTTCTCCATCACATCCTTTAAGATACGTAGCTGGCAGGATTGTTAAGGTGGCAACGTAAAGGAGAGAGAATTAAATAAAACCATTTAATAAGCAGAAGCTGCCAGGCAGGCCACTTGCTTTTTTTTTCCAAGTTTTGCACTCTCAAGAGATTCAAAATGTTAAGTTAGAGAAATTCTGTAGGCCGTCAAGTTTAGCTCTACAACAGGGAAATGATTTGAGAGCTGGTGGTGTAATAGAGCCTAAATTTCCAAGGACAAGTAACAAGAGCAGCAAGTCAAGCCTGGTGCTTAAGTGCTCACCACCATGTCCCAATAGATGGGAATGAAATAGTGTCTAGTTTTCATTTCTGTACTATGTATGGAATTTTTAGTTAAAAACAATTTTAGCACTTATAAATTTTAATTTAAATATATGTTTGTTTACTAGCTGGTTGGTAAGAGGCTCAAAATTTGTTTGCAGAAGCCAGTAAACTATGT